CTCGGTGCTGCCGCGCAGAGATCTCACGTGGAAGGTATTCTGCATTGCCACAGGAGAAACATTATTATCTGGCAGTGAATAATCGTGCTGTCTTTCATTTGCTTAATTTGGATTAGTTGGTCATGGAGAATATAGGAGGAAAAGATGCTTACAGAGAAGAAGTCGGTGCTTCTCATGGCCCAGAAGAATACGACAGTCATTACAGCCATGTAGGCTCCATACACAACGCCCGTGGCAAAGATCTCATTCAGCTTCCAGCTATCAGGGTGTGGCGACGGTTTTACTCTGTCCTTCGCAATAGTCATGATAGTGCCTGAAATCATATTGCATTTTTTTCTTTAGAATAGTAAGTGTCGAATGCATAGAGATTAATGAACAGTATGCAATCGTTACTGAACGCCTCTGAAGCAGACAAGCAGTAGTGCAAACTTACCATCATTCAGAATGGCAATGACCAGAATCATGAATGGTGAGAAATCAAATTTCCATATCAGTGCAATCAGCAAGAATCCAAGCTGCACGTTCACAGGTCATAGTAAATAAGAATTTTAAACACATATAAGACCATGATCTCTAGATTCTTGCAAGGTCGAAGTAAAAATAACTTACCACGATACGAATAGTGATTGACACCGCATATATCTAACCAAAAATAAGAGAAGGGTATTAGGGTCAGAAGTGTAAGGAATTAGTGAATTTTGTTGCAAAAGGAATACTTACGGTGTAATTCTTCATCCTCTGGAAGATGGCCCTGCTAGTGAGCACAGCACTGATGATGACACTGAGGCCTTCTTGAGTAAGCACAATGTCAGAAGCGCTCCGTGCTGCATCAGTAGCTCCGGCTACGGCAATTCCAATATCGGCTTTCTTCAAAGCAGGCGCATCGTTGACACCATCTCCGGTCATTCCGCAAATGTGCTTCATCTCCTGCAGCTTCTTGACAATCTCATACTTGTGCTCTGCATCAAAGTGCACAACTGCAGACTGAGTAAACAATCCAACCAGTTATTTTCTGAAGTGTGCTTGTGTTCATGCACACCCACCTGGGAAGACGCCAGCAAAGCCATCGGCCTTCTCGATCAAGTCATCCACAGGAATCGAAGCAGTGGCTTCATCTTTGCTCTGACCAAGTAGAGCCGATGATGGATACATGTTTGAGCCCATCCCTAGCCGTCTCCCGGTCTCCTTAGCAATGGCGAGCTGATCACCTGCAGATGACATTATCAGAGCATGTCAGCCTAAACCTCTCGCCTTTTAGCCTAAATGAGGTAGACAGAGTAGAATTAGACAACCAAATGCAGAATGTACCAGTGATCATCTTCACATTGACACCGAGGTCGAGCGCATGCTTGATTGTGTCAGAACTGTCTGACCTCGGTGGGTCCAGGAGAGGAAGCAGACCCACAAATTCCCATGGCTCTCCGATGCTTTCCTTCCTCTTCTCCGGAACTTGCTGTAGAAAAGCAAGATAAAATATTACATTAGAGACCCAAAAAAAACATATAACTCACATAAGTACAATAATCGATTGAGCATTCTGAAAGTAAAATCATACCTGTCTTGCAACTGCAAGAGATCGAAGACCACGCTCGGCGTACTTGTCGATCACAGTGTGAACCAAGTTCTTGACATTATCTCCACAGTTGCAGAGAGCCAATATCTATATAGTCATGCACGCCATGGGAGTAAATAAACACAATGTATACAAAAACGAGCTATGTACCATAGCAAAGTAGTCCATATAAAAAATAGATGGGATGAGAAAGCCATGACTACGTACTTGTTCGGGTGCACCTTTGCTGACACGGTGCCAGCTACCATCAGCGAGATCAATATAGGTGAGGGCTGTTCGCTTGTCAACGGGGTTGAAGGGGAAGAAGTGCACCTCCTCAATGCCATCCCTGGCCTCCTTTGGATCACTTAGCATGCCAACCATGGCGGCGTCGATGGCGTCCTGGTTCTCCACCCTAGATGCCCTGGCAGCGAACAAGATAACATCGTCCTTTTCAACGTCCCCGGCAAAGATCTCAACAAGGCTGCGGTCAACACTGAGCTTGTTGAGGGTGAGCGTGCCGGTTTTGTCACTGCAGAGAACATCCATGCCAGCCATCTCCTCGATGGCGGTCATGCGCTTGGTGATAGCGCCCTGCAACGACAGCCTGTGGGAGCCGATTGCCATGGTGACGGAGAGCACAGTAGGCATGGCAATTGGGATGCCACCGATCAGAAGCACGAGGAGGTTGTCGATGCCTTCACGGTACCGGCGGTGCTGGACCGCGTACATGACGATGACCTCGACGAATAAGCCAATGATGATGGTTGCTATGCAGAAGTTGCCGATGGCCTGGAGCACCTTCTGGAAGTGGCCGACCTGGTTGGTGCTGTCGACAAGGTGCGCTGCCCTCCCAAAGAAGGTGTGCACGCCGGTGGCGATGACAATCGCCTCGATCTCGCCCTGCTTGCACGTGGAACCCGAGTAGACACCGTCGCCGGGGTTCTTGGTGACCGGAAGACACTCGCCAGTGAGCGCCGACTGGTCAATCTTGAGCGCATCACCCTCGAGCAAGCGAGCGTCAGCTGGGATGATGTCGCCGAGCTTAATGCTGATAATGTCACCCGGGACGAGGACCGCGGCGTCCTCCTCGCTCCATCGGCCGTCACGCAACACCTTGGTCTTAGGCGCAAGGTTGGCCATGAGCGCCTCTGCAGCGCTCCCGGCATTGTTCTCCTCGATAAATGAGATGGTGGAGTTGAGGATAAGGAGCACCACGATGCCGACAAAATCTTGCCAGTCCGGCGGCCTGTTGTCGCCGTTGGCAAGCGCAATGGCCATCACAGCAGCCATCTCCATCACCCACGACAACGGATTGTTCATAAACATTAGGAACTTCAACACCTTGTTCTCCTGCAAACACAATGATGGACGTACGACACTGTTATCTTATTTCCTATCAAAGTACACGTATATTGCAGATTAAGTAATATTTTTGGAATACATAATTTAATCAGATTATGTGTCAAACAATCAAAACACTAAAAGAACAAGTACTGATCTGTTTATGGCAAAATGGTAAAACTCTGGTAGGCTATATTGTCATTTTCCCCCCCTAGATAATGCAAAGATCTGGCTTCATCAGACACTTGAAGTTTGACTTCAACATCTAACCGCCACACTAGTCATCTAACAACTAGTGGACACCATTGGATCATGGTGTTGCAAATAACCAGCAATATTAGTTACTTTCAGTTTAATAAATAATAATGTCTTTTACTACTTTTGTTATCTTGACATATTAGTATTTGTCTTGATTCTAGGATTGAGAGAGAACAAATAAAAGGTAAAATATGATAAAATAATATAGGATCGATAATGACCTTTCTTTCTTCTAATTTATTGGGACCAAACATGGCGGCGCGTGTCTGGGCTTCATTGGAGCTGAGGCCTTCCTTGCTGCATTTGAGGAAGGTAAATACTTCGTCCATAGGGATGTTCTCCTGCGAAAGTAACAGATGTGTATATGTGTTAGATTAAAACAAAGAACACATGCTTACTCAACACAACGAGGGCTAGACTGATTTGAAAATAATACACAAAACAGCAGATCAAATCAATAATAAATAAGAGTGTGTGATCTTAATCTAACCAGATCCACTGTCTCTGTCATGATCTGCTCAAGATTTTCCTTCATGATGGCCGCCATGGAGGTGGACTAAACCCTACCCTCGTCGTCTAAACCCTTTGCTGTCGCCTCTTGCCTTCTTCTCGTCCCTCCCCCTTGTCGACTAGAGAGAAAGACTACAGAGATACGTGGTGTCGACTAGAGAGAACGAAATGAGATCCGGTCTTGTGTTTATATAAGGGTCCGCACGCCGCAAGTCCGCGCTTGTTACGGGGACGGAGTTGGAGTACGAGGAGACGAGGAGTAATCATAGGCCCGGTCTTGTGTTTATATAAGGGTCCGCACGCCACGAGTCCGCGCTTGTTACGGGGACGGAGTTGGAGTACGAGGAGACGAGGAGTAATCATAGGCCCGGGTTGGTATAGCTTATCTGGAAACGTTTCCTGCACAAATAGAGTAAAAGCGACGGTTAAAATAAGCTGGTTTGATCCAACTTCTGCTTTTTAGTATAAATAGGAGCTACGGAAATAAGCGTGGTCAGAGTAAATTACTGAAAAACGTAGTATTTGACTGTTGATTTCTCCGTGCCGACAAGGCCCAATCAAGATATCCGGACCGCACAGATAACTCCGGCCCACCCCAGCCCACCACCAGCCCGAACTCCATGCACCCGGACCCTACTTGGCAAAAGGAAACCGAGTAACGCACGGGGCAAGCAAAGCTGAGCGCTCCTCGGATCACCGGACGAGATCGGTCGCGTCCCGCCAGTTCCCAACCCACCACGCGGCCGGCCGCCGAACGAAGCAGACCTAACCTAACCTGACCTCTCTCTCGCCAGCCTCTCGACTTTTTTTTCCACGCTTCCCTGCCTTCTATTCCTCGCTCATCAAGCCAACAACAACCAAATCGAATTCGTCTCCTCCTCCTCCTCCTCCTCCTCCCCTCCCACTCGCCGCCGCCGCCGCCGCCTCCTCCTGAGGTAAGAAGCGAGCGCCCCGCGAATCCCCCACCCCGCCCCCGCCGCGCGCACCGGTGAAGACGACGAGCCCCTCGTGAATGGTGGGAGCCCGCGCGACGTCCGCCGCCTCGCAGCCGCAGCCGGAGAAGGCCTCCGTCCGCGGCTTCGGTTGCTGCATGCAGGGCTGGTACCACCGCTGCATCGGCCTCGACCCCTGAACACCTCGCTCCCTCCCTCACTCTGCTTGCTTCCCCGCTCCGGCAGCCGCCGCTTCACTGATTTGATTAGATTCGGTTGATTCCACCGATCCCCCTCCCGTCCTGGATCTGTTGCTCGAGAGCACGGAAGCGCGCGAGATTCGTTCCCTTCTCTTCTCCGAGGAAGCAAAGCCGATCGCTCGCTGAGCGCCGCCGCCGCCGCTGATGGCCGTCGCGGTGCCTTCGTCGCTGCCGATGAAGCTCTGGAGGACGGAGCCCCGCGGCAAGGCCGCGGCCCCGGGGCCCGACGACCCCGTCCGCGTCCTGGTGACGGTGACCGTCCTCGGGAGCGCCGGCCCGCTGCGCTTCATCGTGCTCGAGGGCGACACGGTCGCCGCGCTCATGCGCGCCGCGCTCCGCTGCTACGCCCGCGAGGGCCGCATGCCGCTGCTCGGCACCGACCCCGCCGGCTTCGTCCTCTCCACCGCCAACGGCGGATCCGGCGGTACGTAACGGCATCTGTTTGTCTCTTTCGTCGGAATTTGGATCTGCTTTGCTTGCTTCTCGGCTCTCTGATGTACGATTCGATTCGATCTCATCTGTTTGATCTCTTGTGCCATGCCTTGCCCGTGCAGCGCTCAAAGAAGAAGAGAAGATCACCTTCAACGGGTGCCGGAGCTTCCTGCTCTGGCAGAAGGATGCGGTCCAGGGTGCCTCCAACCACGCCGGGCCCGACGCTTTGACGGCAACCCCGAGCCCCGGCAGGAAGGGCAGCGGTGGATTCAAGGTTACTCCGAGCCCTGGCAGGAAAGGCAGCGGCGGCTGGAAAGCTGGCCTGAACAAGTTTCTCCTCAGCTTCAGCATCAAGGTGTGATCCATTCGTCGACGAGAGCAGGAGTGTCCTTGGGGTCTTCATCGCACCACAATAAAATTGCATTGGTTGATTCTTCGATTGGCTAAGTGTAATTCGTCGTGAGTTTGAGTCGAGTCGGTTGCTTTGTTATTCGCTGCTCTGTTTCCAAGTTACCAGGAGTTAAAAGTTTTTTCATTTGTTCGTGCTGTCCAGTTATATCGTCGACCAATTGTCTGAACTGTCCAAATACATACGTGCTGTCCAGTTTACATCGTGGATCAATTGTCTGAACTGTCCAAACACATCGTGAGCAATTGCTTAAGTGGTTCAGTCAAACAAAGAGCCTGCTGTTTTTATGCTTAGCTAATACTAAATTGTTCATGAATCTGAATTTAAGCTAGGCCATGGCTTTAGTAGAACCACTGAATCCGCCGCTATAATAACCTGATGAATTTAAGCTAGGCCATGGCTTTTAGTAGGACTACTGAATGCGCCGTTATAACCTGATGATGAGGGTGGCTGCAGCAGAGGATTTCTAAGGGATCCCGAATTTCAGGAAAACTCATAACAGAATGCAATAAACACTACGACTATTACAGCGACCTTCAGAAGAAGAAGAAAACATCACTACACAGTCGCAGGCGAAACACCTCCCACAGTTTGATCACCGGTTCTGAAACCAGTTCCCACTCTTCTTCCAACCATGCGCACAGCACTCCACAGAAATAACATCAAACTCGTTGTCTGTAGGAGTGTAGGACATTGAATTTTCCTCCTCTGCATCAGATCAACTTTTCTCTTATTGTTGCTTAGAAAACACTTGTAAATAGTCTAAACTCGTTATACCATCACTACTATCTATAATGCATATATGCTTTAAAAGCAGTTTTGCTATGGGGGAAGCTATCGCGCAACGAATCGTGCGACCCCTTCTTCCTCCTTGCGATGCTTCATCCCCGCCCCCTTCCTCCCGCCTCCTCCCCGCCCCTCCACCACCGGCGGGTGGAGGCTCTCGTCGCCTCACCACGCCCGCCACCTCTCACCCCCGCCCTCTCCTAACCTCCACCACAACGTCTTCCCGGCCGCGTCCTCGCCCTGCCCCCACCACTGGCAGCCGATGGCAAGCCACCGCACCACCCGCAACCGGCCCCTCGACCCCGCCCACCCAAACCACAGTAACTTGCCGGCGAGCTCCACCGTGACACCCCCACCGCCAACCCCACCCAGCCCCATCTCTCGCCGCCCGGCTCCGCCGCTGTCTCTCCCGCCACCACCGCCCTGTCACTGCCGCCTTCCCCCAAATCTTTCTTCTAAGGCCATCGGGGAAAACCCTAACCATTCCAGAACGCCGGAACCCTAACCACAGCTCAGGGAGGAAGAAGAAGGCGAGGGAGAGAACGTCGTGAGGAGGAAGACGGGAGCGCGCGACCCGTCGCTTAATAGGCTTGATAGAGTTTGCGTTTTGCTATATCATGTCCGGGTGAAAAACTTTGCACCTACACCAAAAATATGTGAGCATGTTATAAGAAAGAATTTGGGTGCTTTAAATGAGTTCCACACAGAAATCAAAGGTGTTGTAAGAATTAGGTGATATTCCTTCCCTACAACCAAATTTGTAGTCACACAAGATTTTATTTAAATTTAAATATTACACCAAAACAAAACATTGTATCTCTCTTAATAGTTGAAGTGTAAATCCAACATAAGTTGACAAATAACTAAAACTAGGGTGTGGAAGAATATATTTTCACTTGAATCTTAGAGCAATTCCACGAGTCTCTTTATATTCTTGTGTATTTGATAGGAATAGAGATTTTGTTGAGAAAAAAAATCCCTATATCCATCTCTAGTTTCTCGCTCGCTAAAGATAAACAGTGGAGCTAGCTTTCCAAAGTGGCAAACATGACATAGAGAAGTTATTTGATTGTGAAGGGAGACATAGAGAGCAGTTTTTATTAGAATGACTCCTTGAATAAGGACTTTAGAACGTCTCCAATAGTTTTTCTAAAGCTCACTCTCTAAAATCATCATTTGGAGTTATTTGCATAAAAATCATTTTCTATATCTTTCTGCTCTCTATATCTTGTGTGTTGTCTTATCATTCTAGTATACTATACACTCTCTCATTCTTGAATATAGTGAATTTCAGTTGTCCTAAGTCATATCATTCTAAGTATTGACGAAGTTTAAAGAAAAAACAATTATATTTACAAATTCGATGGAGTGAATGTTACGAGTAATATTCTTCTTTACAAATCTAGTTAAACACAGGATGGTTTAAGTTAGAACAACTGAAAATCCGTTAAGTATGATCATCTGTCATACATGTCCCCGTATAGACATGCATTTTCATCCTCTGTGTTGTGTTGGTAGGCTAGATGAAGCCACACAGTGATACCATAAGGAAAATATCGATCCATGTTATGTTGTTGCTCACCGAGATAAGTATCAGCTTCAGGAAACCCTGGAGCAGGAGGCGACCATGGTAGAATGTGTTTGAACTGAACCCAAGTTTACCTTGCCTGGATAGAGTTCTACCAAATTCACCCTTAATCGACGACAAAAATCAAGACCATCTAGCTCTTCTCAACGAAAAAAATAACTGATATTACACATGGGCTAAATGGGCCAAGAGCTGCAACAACACCACCAGGCGAAAATGGACCAAGAAGCTAGCCCTGCCCGCAAGGCCCAATAATAAGCTATTCCACTCACCAACTCGCATCATACCAACATGGGACGTGCACGCACGCAAGCACGCAGGTTAACTTGACGGGTCTATAGCGTGGACAAGGATAGGTCGAGGCTGATCCGGCTCCACGACGACGCCGTCGCCGCCGGCGAGAGCCGGCCGACCTCCTCGCCGCTGCGGCTGCTTCTCGTGTCCAGCGCTAGGGACAGCGAGGGCGAGCAGTCGTCGCCGTCGGAACCCGCCGACGACGACCAGGGATCGCCGCCAGCTTGTTGGGCCACGGCGGCCTTGCTCGGCGGTGTCTCGAGGCCTCGTGGGAGGAGGCGGCGTGCCTCCGCGGAGCTGCGGTGGCCGGTGAGAGCCATGCCGACCGTCTGCGTGCAAACCATCACTTCGTTAGCATTTGATAAGCTAACTATTTCTTTAATAATGAGGTAATTTAAATATTTATTCGAAATGTAATCAAAGTCAAATTTATATTAAATATATGTATATTCTAATGCTACTAGAAAATAGTGGTTCAAGTTATGATTCAGAGACCCTGTTGTGCAAAACATCAGTACATATGCAAACCGAAGGGAGCATGTATATTATTTGTCTTATTACTAGAAGACCCGTTTATATTAAGAGCCAGTTTGGATACCCTAAACTAAACTTCAGTTCACCTAAAGATCCAAACATGTGAACTAAAAGTGAACTAAACTTTACTAGTTTTTATCCCAACTAACCATTATTAGTTGATAAATATGAACTAAAAGATGGTCATGACTCTTGAGTCTATGCCTAGGAAATCTTTTCACTTTTAGCACACTTTGAGTCCATGTATCCAAACATACTGGAATAAAAGTGCTTCAACTAAACTTTAGGTGATCAAATCAAACACACCCTACATATCTCGTATAATCTACAGTACCTTGTTTGGGTGGGATTCTGGAGTAGTATTGTGCACAAAGGGGGTGTTCGGCTGGTATGCTTGTTGAGGAATTTGGATGGTTTAAAGAAATTCTGGAGAAATTTATGAGAGAAAAATATTATTTTGAATGAAAAAAATAAATGAATCAGCCGGGTTTAAGGGCACACGAACGGGCCAAAAGGAGAAGGCAATAGGCCTGAGTTCCAGTGCGGTCACTTCGGTACTTTCTGCCTTTTTGTGCGATTGGAATCTGTTGAGGAGACAATGCAACATCCTCCTAGCCCACGCGAAGGCACGAGGGGAGAGAGAGCGAGCGAAAGGAATACTGTAGAGAGCATGCACTATATGTACACTCAAACCTAAAATGGTCAGTAAGAGATTCAAAATCAATCTCCAACAGAGTACTGAGAGACTTATTTTAGGTTGTCTAAGAGACACAACCTAAATATGAGCATCCTCTCATGTAAACCTATTTGCAGAAAGAATTCTTTTTTTTCTTGTTGTTGGAGAAGATGCCAAATAGGTATTAAATCTTTTGTGTATAGCACTAAAAAAACGAATTTGTCTTGTATTTTAGTTGTGGTTGTCGGAGAGAGTATGCAATTTTGTAGCGACCTACCTAGGCCACACCCACACGCGAGGACAAGAACCACTGAACCAGCGAGCACTGCTGAAAAGAGATGAGAATGTGATGAGATCTGTCGGCTGTCACACTCACACGCCACCGGCCACACCTAGTATGCACTTGGCACTACTCGCGGCGCAGAGGCGGAAGGCACAGGCAGGGGCGGCTGCATGCAGTAGTGCGCTGGGACGATCCATCCATCCATGCGCTTTGCCCCCCTGCCGTACCCTCTGAACACTCGTTTTCTCGATCATATTTCTCAGCTGAGACCGCCGGGCGCCGGTCCATCCTCGGCTCGCCGACGGAGCAAGGAGACACAGTGCATGCATGCTGATGCTGTGCAGTGCAGTGGCAGCAGTGCATACCTCGAAAGGGTGGTCACGGCCGCAGCAGGGAGGAGGAGGCGGCCCCGGCGCCACCACGAAGCCCAAGAATGTGAGGCGCTGCTTGCTGCTGCTGGGAGGAGGAGCGTGTTCGCCGCAGTCTGCGCCGGGCCGCGCCAAGTGCTGCTTTATTCCCGGCCCCCGCCCGGGCTCCACCGTCTCCGCATGACGAGGTGGAGGCGGAGGCGGAGGAGGAGCACGAGCAGGAGCGCCGGCAGCGGCAGCCACGCCCATGGCCGCTTGCATCATGCGCATATAGTTGTCGTAGCCACCTGCTGCTGCTGCTGCGAGCGCGCAGCACAGGCCGCCGCTCGGTGACCCGTCGCTCTCACATATTCCTGGGCCTGGGCCTCCTCGCAGCAGAACCCTCTTGGGTCTCGCGCTCCCATCGATCTCGTCCCCCTCACGCCTCGTCTCCGCCCTGTTGTTTGCATTTGGTTGCATGCATGCATACATACACGCAACACGCATGGTTAGTTCACATCGTGCCGGCCGTACGTGGGAAAGAAAAGCTACTGGTAAAACGAGAAAGATGTTGGCACGCTCTATTCCCTGCACATTGGTTTGAAGCCAAGTTTCCATCACCAATACACAACACTCCTAGTTTGAAGCCATGTTTTAACCATTGTTTCATGTCAGTGTATGATTTTGGAGACCATACAGATGCTTACTCATCCATCTTTATGTACATTTTCAAGGTTGTGAAGGTGGGTGTAACCTAATCAGTCAATACTCCGTATAACCATATCCCTACAGTGCATTTCTTAAAGAAAAAAAAAACTTGATGAACACTGTAAAAGCAAGATCATCTGGGAAATGGAATCGGTGATCTTGGCTTTTTACAGCATCTGATAGCTAGGTACGACTTTGGCCACTGTTTTATATTATATAATTTTATATAATGTCTAATAAAAGTATTTTTTCGGGGCAAATCTACACATGCGACTTTTCCCCACACTAAAATATTTTAAGCTATGGATGACCAAAGTTTTATAAGCATGATACTACAATGCATGCACCTACAATGTACATGTTGACTACTAGTACCCCTTCATCAAAGAAAGAATGCAATTCTAGTACAGTGTCATGTTTTAGTACCTTAAGTTTGATCAATTATAGATAAAAAATTATCAATGTGTATGATCCAAATAAATATTATTAAATTAATTATGAAATATATTTTAATAATAAATTAATTTGAAGCTATAAATGTAAATATTATTCGCTAAAAACTTGATCAAACATGAACCACTTTACGTGACACGTAACCATAGTTGCATTCTTTTGGGGACGGAGGTAGTATTAAATTGTAATATACTATACAAAACGGACCCACTAACCAAGCTTGCATGGCATCTGTAGCAAACATTCTACAAGATCTTCCTTGGTATACATAAAAAAAGTAGTGGTACTAACTATAATTTGACAATATAGTAATGTTAACATCAAAAAATAATTAATTTTTATAGTTTGTCCGTGTCTCTTTTGTCAAAATTAGCCCCATAATTTGACAATAAATACTGTCATTATTCCACTGGCAATTAGGTTTAATAAATTTATCTCATGGTTTACTGGCGGATTCTATAATTTATTTTTTTATTAATATCCAAACACCTCATACGACATCCCCATGTAATATTCAATGTGACATTCCAAATGTGACATTCCAAAACCTTACACAATCTACACCAGCCCTGAATGGGCAAAGCCAAAGGCAGGTCGTCTATAGAATCGTTTGTCATTATTCACGACGGACGCGAATGGCTGGCTGGCTCCATCCTGACGTGACTGATGAGCATACTCCGTACAGCAGAGAGCACAAGCAGTACAGGAGAGCAATACGACACCCTCATAGGCCTTGTTTAGCCATCCAAATTCCAAGTTTTTCCACTCTCTTTCTATCATATCAATTTTTAGCCGTTTATATGGAGTATTAAATGTAGATAAAAAAAACTAATTATATAGTTTAGTTGGAAATCACGAGATGAATCTTTTGAGCCTAGTTGGTCCACGATTGGACAATATTTACCAAATAAGACGAAAGTGGTACTATTTATCGGGTTGAAAAAATTTACAAAGTGAACAAGGCCATAATATCCGACGTGATATTTTAAAATTTTACACGCTGGATCTACACCCGTCATGAATGGGCAAAGCCAAAGGCAGATCGTCTATAGAATCGTTTGTCATTATTCACGACGGACGCGAATGAATGGCTGGCTCCATCCTGACGTGACTGATGAGCATACTCCGTATTGCAGAGAGCACAAGCAGTATAGGGAGGAATACGACAGATACACGTAACGTTCCATGTTTTTTTTTAAATTTTACACGCTGGATTTTACCCTTATCCTGAATGGGCAAATATAGGTAAAAAAATAACTAATTGTCTTTAGTTAGAAATCGTTTGTCATTAATCTTTTGACGGACGCGGTCCACAATTAGACAATATTTATCAAATAAGACGAAAATGCTACTATTCATTGGGTTGAAATTTTTTTCAATCTAAACAAGGCCTAGGAGAGGAAATGAGTAAAAAATAAAAGGCAGTGACCTTTTCAGTTGGCGTTGGAACAGCGTCGCCTCCTTTCCAGGCTTTGGTGAGTGGCAGATGCAGCAGGGGGCATCGCACTCATGATCGCACTGCGGCTGCTGCTGCTGCTGCTGCATATTGGTGCAGAGTTCCATATGCATGCCTCCTCCGTATACGTGCTCCTGATCCTGCATCCGGTGCACCTGCATCGGCCCTGATCACAGGATCGGCAAAAGAATAGGAAGAATGGCCGGGGTTAGCTTAGGTTTTGTTCTCTGCTGGCTCTGAACTGATGGAGTACAGCAGGTGTATGTATATTGTATATGCATGCATCATGCATGGAGGATAAAGCATATCACTACTCACTTCTGAGTAGCATCTTACACGTTGGATGTTGCCAAAGCAACACACGCGCGCGCGCGCACACACACACACAAAAGAAGATGGCTGTCGAGAATCGTGCCATCCATGCACACATGCATGCATGAGTTGCTAGAAAGATCAGTTTTTTTTTCTCTCCCATGACTACAATTCCCTTTGGAACAAAGAGACAACAGCCTAGAGTAGCTAGTACAGCCTTTTTTTCATGACATGATCAAGAAATATTTTTTTTGGTCTTAATCACTTTTGAGTCTGGTTAATTAGACTGTCATTAACTGATGCACATTCACTCACTTCATGGATTTATATTTAAAAAAAAACTCCTTGATTTGTTTGGCGAGAAAGGCTGAACTCGTTAGCTATTTTCAGTCTCTCTATACAGTACTGGAGGACCCAACGAGCTACAGAAGGGAAAAGAAAGGATACATGCTTTCTTTTCAGTTTTCCTAACGTTTCTGGGAGCAAAGAAGAGCTGTGCCTGAACTACTTAGGGTATGTACCTTGCATTCCAAGATCATTTCTCATGTTCCTGTACATCTGCTTCGACATTCAGAAGAGAAAAAAAATACATATTCAGTCAGTAGCAGATAGGAGAAGGAAATGAAGAACAGAATCCAAGACCCTGAGAGCTCCAGCTAGTGAACCAACCTGCAGGTGGCTTTTGACATGAGATATGGTGAGTCCTCCCACTCCCATCAGCTGCAGAACTCGCTTCGGCGTAGCCTCTGCGACCACAGCATGCAGGTTCAGATCATGAGAAACGCATCCAGCCCGAACCGGAGAAAGAGAGAGGAAACTAGGAGCAAGATAGAAGATGATCAGGCAAGCAGGAGAGGAGCATGCAAGCAAGCACATACTGTCCTGGCCTCCGAGCTTGTGGATGGCGTGGACGAAGCAGTGGTGCAGATCGGGCGTCCATCTCAGGCGGGGCACCTTGGACCTGTTGTACTGCCTCACGCCCCCGCTCCTCTCCCTGCCGACCACCGTCGTCCTCACCATGGTCATCTCTCAGTCTCAGCTCCAAGCTCTACAACACGAAGAACCTGCCAGCACCGGCAGCTGGCAGCTTATATATTTGCTTGGATGTCCAGCCACTTCACATGCACGTTTATGCACATGAGTGACCATCCATCAGCCAGGCTAGTTTAGCAAGCTCATATACTAGCAGTGCCAGTGCAAGTGCAACACCTGCCCCTCTCACACTTTTGCCACTAGAAAGAGGGAGAGGAGGGGACAGAGTAGAGAGAGAACGAATGAGAGTGGGCGAGCAGTGGAGAAGTGTTAAGGCGTTGTTTAAATACAGCCGTAAAGTTTCGTGCTGTCACGTGGGGTGTCGTATGAGGTGTTTGGATATTAATAAAAAATAAATTATAGAAGCCATTGGTAATTCACGAGACGAATTTATTAATCTTAATTAGTCCGTCATTAGCGCGTGATTACTGTAGCACCACATTGTCAAATCATGAGCTAATTAGGCTTAAAAGATTCGTCTTATAAATTAGTCGTAAACTGTACAATTAGTTATTTTTTAATCTATATTTAATATTCCATGAATGTGTCAAACATTCGACAGATATGAAGTAAATTTTAGAAAGAGAAAATAAAAAGTCCTAAATTTTGCTGTGTACTCTCTCTCCTCCTAGGCCAGAGTGCAGGGGGGAGATAGAGAGAGAGTGCAGTGGAGTGGCGGGCAAGGGCAATGCAAGAGACAAAAGGTCGGAGACAAATGGGGTGTTTCAGATGCGGTCAGAGCATATGCCTGCTGTAGGAGGGGATAATTATGAGATTGGGGCAGAGCTGTTGACCCGAGTGGAGATGAAGACAGCCAGCAGCAGAGCATGCCAAGCTTCCCGCCAGGATGGCCTCTGACATGCACCTGGCTTGTCCTCCTCCTCGCCCATCCCCATCCTCCTCCTCAGGCCTCAGCTTGCACTGCAACTGCATGCCTTGCTACCTGTAGACAGACACCAACGACTTGAATTTATTCATTCATTCACCTCAGTGTTCTCCCATCAGCTTCAGCAACCGTCAAGCTTGCTTAGCATTATTGCTAACCGTTCGGCTCCAGCAACTGAAAGTGATAAACCATGCATGATGACACCTGACTGCAACATGCATGGAGGCGAACGGCTCACTGATCAAAGAAATCAATGGTAGTAAGCTCAAGAAAAGCTCAATCTTGTCATGCACACCGGCCGGCCGTCTCATGCATGCATGCAGCACATGTGTACGAGATATAAGAGTTGCACATAGTAGGAGTACCTGTGAAAATTCCTACTGCATCTCACTGAAGAATAAAATAAAGGTGGTTGTAGGCGCCTGTTTAGTTCGTGGCTTCAAGGATTTGGCCTTTGAATTTAGATCCAAAAGGGAGAATCAGCCTCTATCATGCAAATAAAAGCTGATCGCAGATTTCTCCTTTTGCCTCGGGAGTACCAAAAGGCTATGAGCCATGCATAATTAAAGATGTTCTCTTGAAGCAAAATTGTCACATAATGGATGGTAGTAGTATCAAGTATCAAGAACATCATGATGATGACGATGATGATGGCGATTAGGAGCTACTACTAGTTGTAACTAATATCACTAACCCCTGAGCATTGCACTGCACGCAGATGTACACACGGACTGAATTTCTCTTTCAGATGGCTCTCGATCTCTGACCGAATCCAGGATTCCAGGGTACTTAAAGCTTAGCGAACATGTATATTAACCCCCAAGATCAGAATGGCAGAAGGTATGCAGATCATTATGAATGCATGCAGAAACAAGGAGAAGGGTCCGATCCGTCCAACCCGTAAAGTTTCAGAGGGAATTTATTTTTTCTGATCACGTCGTGGCAGGACGCATCATTGAGAAGTAGAATATACTCCCTCATTCCTAAAAGGATTGCCGTTCTTTGGTTGGTTTCTGGGTTGATAAGCCCGGCTGATGCTGGTTTGTTGTGAGAGAAAAACACTATTGACTGACTAATAAGTCCTGGCTGAAACCAACAAGCGAACATGCTGTAATTTGGACTAAGTCAAAACATTAATGACACAGGAACAATCAGAGGATTAAAAGGCAGAAACCTCTCAAATGAACCCTTGAAGCTGAAGCTGATCAGGAGGTCCCGTACATGCACGCGTTTGTATGCATGCACGGGCGGCCCGTCGATCCGACTGGCAAGATAGATACCGAGCTATCTTTTTGCTGCGCTAGCTGCTCATCCATGGCATGCGCCGGTCAAATCCCAGCCGCATTTGCCACACCTCAGCGGCGGCAGCACGCAGCCCCACCGTACGTTCAAGTCGATCGATCCTCGTTCTTTCCTTCTGTCGTCGTGCCCCGACCAGCATTCTTCAGTCTCGGTTAAAATGTTGATCAAACTTTGAATGTACAATCTGCACACTTAAATTCCTGGAATGCTTATTCATATGAGCTATAGGATTATTGGTATTCGTCAGTATTCGCAACATGGACTGGAGCTCAATGGCATGCTTGCAATAGCACAAGGGAGAGGTATGCATATGCAGTTCGATCTCATTCACCATTCAGCCATATGCAGGGAGAGCAACTCCAAGAGACTAGCCAAAAATATTAGCTAAATTTAGTGATTTTACTATTGTCTAAAATAAATCCTACTCTAACAAACTAGACTAGTCCAACAGGTTAACTAAAATTGAGACTCTCCATATTCAAACTTGCCATGCGGAGGCATGTGGTGGGTCGCATACGCGCGCAAACAGGGATGCAGCGTGTGGAAAGGATTCGCCGACCGCGCCAAGAGGCTGGATGGCGAGTGGTGTAGACTATCTAAGAATAGAGAGCGAAATAGGAAAAATGGAGAGCTACTAAATTTGGAGAGTCATTTACAGAGTTTATTGGGGACATTTTTCCTCTAATGCTAGTCAAATTTATTTTTGAAAAATGATTTGGCTAATCTCTTGGAGGTGCTTACTTCTGTAAAAACCCTACTATACGCAATGCAAATTAGCTAATCTCACTCTAAGTTGGTTGAGATAAAAACTGAATGAGGCATGTATTCCTTTTTTATACGATGGAAGATTTTATTAACAACTAAGGACAATATATCGAGTTGATACGTAGTCTCTTTCTAACAAGAAGCATATGGCCAATAAAACAAAATAGATCAAACACACTCTAATAGCTATCAATTCTTAGACTAGACCACCACCCATGTGTTTGGGGGAAAGTCCACTGCCACCTGCACCAATTGTCACGGGGCCTTAGCTTCACAACTAAAACCTGTAAATTCGGCTTCTCAAGGATGGACTAAGTAGAGCCAATTTAATGGAAACTGCAAAGATAAGCAAATGGATCAACAAGTAGCTGCAGCCCCTAGCAACACTAGTGGTTTCACATCTTTGGCTAACCATGTTAACCAGCAACCGAACATATGTAATACGCAACGAGGTTGTGTTAATCCAAAAGCGAAATGAGTTGTGTTCCAAACTGGTTGTGCAACTCGGAATTGTCTCATCTTTGTGACATAAGGAGCATGTCTAACATCCTTGCTAGTTGTGCTTAACTAAATTATCTTTGGTCAAAACAACTCCCCCATATATGTATTACAGAAAAACCTTAAGTTTTATAGTAAGGCTTTCAGTTCCCACAAACTTATCCTTAAGTTGGGTACATAAGATTGGGTCATGGCTTCATAATGTGATTTCACTGAGAATTGACTGTTTGGGTGTAGATTCCAATGAAACACATCATGCTCTTCTGCCAATGCGGTAATAAATCATTCTAGGCTACTAACTTCTTACCAATGAGATCTTTGTGCCATGAGGCTACTAACTTCTGACCAATGAGATCTTTGTGCCATAAAAAACGAGATCCAACTTAGGAGGAATTAGGTCTTTTTTCATTAAGAAGAGAAATAGGCACATAAATTCAGTCCAAGAGATGACTTAGAACTTGGGTGGTTTGGTGTATGACCACACCTCTCACCTAACTAGTTGGGCTAAGGCTCACTTTCTTCTGTGCCATGGAAGGTTTGGAGGGAAGGAACCAAGGACATTTAAAATGGTGATGAATTTAGGTCTTGCTATGTTGTAATGGAAAGGGTATTGATCCTTCAGTGTAACATTACTCAACTACTTATTATCCTCCTAGAACCTCATCTGAGATCCATCTTTAATAATGAAAGATCTAAAGCTAATAAACTCCTGCTTCACCTTCATAAGACTGGAAAAAAATGGGAGTTATATGGTCTCAATTTATACTCTGTTAAAAAATGTTTATTACGTGGGAAACTTCGAGAGCCATTTACTCAAAAGGGTGATGTTCAGATCATGAATCCCTAGACTTCTTGATCTTTTGGTTGGCACAGGATGTTCCACTTTTCAAGGCAATATTTTTACTTATGTTCATGCCCCTGCCAAAAGACACGTACAGTGCCGAAAGCGTTCACAAGACGTGGATGCACGCACGCACGCCGCACGGACATGCAGATGCAGGGCATGCGTAAAGGATCATGCATGCAGGGGCGCTGGGCTGCCAAGGCTGGGAGTGGGAGGGCATGATGGACCGTATGATCCGCTTGTTTTCGCCTTTGTATGCAATGATGTGTCTGCCGGTCTCCTGGGCACTTGAGCTACTACTCACTGCATTACTCCCTCTATCCTAAATCATATGTTGTTTTTAATTTTCGTGCCACAAGTTTGATTTGATTTGTAGAAAATATGAGTAATATTTGTATTTCTAAATAAATTTATTAAAAAATATATTCAAAAATCTTTCCAACGATAATAATTACGTATCATAAATATTAATATTTTTTAATATATATTTTGTCAAAATTGTTTATCGAGAAACGAAAACGATCAATATTTTGGCACGGAGGGAATACACTGCTGCTCCCCTCCGGCCCGCCGTTCCCAGTCTTTTGCTGTTCCTGCTGTGTGCGTGTGTATGCGCGTTTGGACTTTGGAAGGAACACATGAGGATGCTGAGCGTCCGTGCCGGTGCCAGCGTTCACCTCTCCTCTCTGCTGCCGCTGT